TGCCACCAGGGCGCGTTTCTCCCGCCAGCTGACCTGGACTTGGGCGGGACAGCTGAGTGGAGTGGCTGGAATGCTTTGGTGCCTTCTCAGGTTGAGAGAAAGTCCATCAAGCATTGAGGACCCATCCTCCTGTCCGTCATTTCCGCCCGCTCTTCCAGCTCTGCCCCTGGAGTGACATATTGCCAGTCTTTTCTCCCTTTAGATGACACTGCTTTAATATTTGGAAGTGACTCTGCTTTTACTATATCTTCACTTCTCCGGGGCATTAATACCTACTTTCGTCCTCTGTTCTTTCCACCTAGTAGTGTCTAGATCTTTCCTTAGCCTCTATTCCTTTTCTGGATATATATTAAATTGTTTAGAACCCTCATAATATGTATGACCCAAGACTGTATACAGTACTCTAGATGTGGTCTGATCATGGGCCATTGCTTCAAGTTTTTTTTTGTTGTTTTTTATCCTCACCCAAGGACGTTTTTCAATATTTTGTTCAGATAGATTGAAAGGGAGAGAGAGAAAAAAAACATGACATGAAAGGGACACATCAAGTGGATGCCACCCACACGACCCAACCAGGGCCGGGGACAAACTGCAACCGAGGTACGTGCCCTTAGTGGGAACCAAACCCGGGTCTCTCTGGACTGCAGGCCGATGCTCCAACCGCTGAGCCAAACCGGCCAGGGCTCAAGTTTTTGATTAAAGATACATACATACATATGCTTATCTGTGTATCTCTGCATATATATATATATATATATATATATATATATATATATAGACTTAACAGGTATACACACACACATCCATTCAGGCACTTTTTATTACGATGGCACTGGTGTCTTGATATGCATGCCCTTTAGACTTCAACAGCTCTGCAGAACATAGTGTTCTATTAGGTCAGCCCCCAGAAAGGTCAAAGTGGTGACATGATTCTCTTGCTCAGCTTTAGGGGCTGGATGTGGACACCCGTGGTAGTGATGATAAATTGCCCTTGGAAGCCTCCCAGAACTAAGTCTGCTAGCTAGGGAAAAGGCCGTGAAGAAGCTTACAGATCCTGACTTTGAAAGACTTCCCTCTTTTAAACATTAAAGGGCACTAATTATTTTCTTTGATGTACCACAAAGGTGTTAAGAACTTTGTTTTCCCTTAGATACATTGCCAATAATTTAAAAAATTAGACATCAATCCATCAAGCATTATTTCACCCTTCTTCATCTGTAATAACCTCTCTCCTACTCATACTTTCCTCCTTCTAACCCCTCCAAAGTACACTGCAAACTCCAACGAGTAAAAGTCTTAAAAGTTGGGTAGCTTGTATGCCTATGTGAGACCTGACAACAAAGGGCTTAGAAGAAGCGATGCAGCACAGGTGTGCTACAGCTTGCGCAGGGAAGCCGCAGTTTTCCGAGGTTGTAGAGAGGAAATGGAGAGGAGGCAGCACTGAGCTTCCACAATAAAGTGGCATTTCTTCTGCATAGATCAGCTTCGTAAGTGAAAATGATTCAAGGCTTGATCTAATATCTGGGGAATAGAGTCCTCTGTTTTTGAAGACAGATGTGATTATGACACATAGTCAACAATGTTTTTCTTCATTATTGTTTGGCCTGAATTTGGGGTTTTCTGGGAGGGAAAAGAAGAGATGGGGTTGAGGATTTGGAGAATAATAGGAATTAAATGTGAATGTATTTGTGGTTCGAGTCTCCATTACTGAGTTTTATTGTTGGCTTAGGTAAAATATCACTAGGAATTTATCGTTAGAAGGTCTCCTCGGCCTTCTGGGAGACCATTCTCAAATTAAGGGATAGACTCTGAGTCTCGTGAGGTTGTTTTTCATTAACTTAACAGAAAAATCATACTCTCAGAATAAGGAACCAAAGCCAGGATGTGGGTTTCCTAAGCTACCATAACAGTGCAGTTTTAGAATGTGGTGCATGTATTCAAGTTTGTTAGAGATTATTCTTTTATGACAAAAATAGGACTTAGTTCTAAGACAACTTTTGGGCTCATTAATTAGGTGATTCTTACAGCTCTGTGACAATAAATATATAGACATGGGGTAGAGAGACTGTTCCCTGCTCATCCCTTGCAGATATTCTTTTTAAAAAATAGAAATAATTTGGAAGGAGAAATTAGTTGGGGCGGGGGGGACTGGATTACAGTACTGTCTTCAACATATACGGGCTAGTTATTCAATTTTTACATGTCTCAAATGTTAAAACTTTAAAATGGGTACAATCGTATCAAATCTACCACCTTACTAGGATTACAATTAGAATAGATGCAACATGAGATACATAAGAAAGCCCTCTGGAGAGTTAAAAATAAATTCGCACCAATATTTAGACCATATTAGCTGGGATATATTGTTGTTTTTATGCATCAGGTACAGTACACAGCAATTTACTGAAACGATATCGTTTAATTCTCAGGACAGACATAGGAGGTGAGTGCTGTTATGCTTCCTACTCCAAGGCTAAGAAATGGAGACATCAACCCAGTCACAGTTATAAAGTCAGGGAACTGGGATTTGAATCTAGTTCATCTAACACTAGAACTAGCTCTCCGATGCATTATGAGAGCCTGCCTTGCCTAGATTAAAAAACATTATTGGTTTATAGGGCAAAGCATCGATCTAATATTACAGAGTAATTTCAAGGTTTCATACTCAATGAATATGCCACTAATGTCGTGGTTGGCAGCCTCTGAGACGGCCCCTAATGAGCTCCATTTCTCGGTGTTCACGCACTTATGTAATGTCCTCCTCTTAAGTGAGAGGGATTTTATGAGTCACTTCTAATGAAGAGAATACAACACTGCCTTTTGACCTAGCAATCTCACTTCTGGGAATATGTCCTAAGAATCCCAAAACACCAACTCGAAAGAATATATGCATCCCTGTGTACATAGCAGCATTATTATTTACAATAGCCAAGATCTGGAAACAGCCCAACTGCCCATCAGTAGATGAGAATATAAAAAAGCGGTGGTACATTTACACAATGGAATACTACACAGTTGTTAAAAATGAAGGGAATCTTACCTCTTGCATCAGCATGGATGGACCTGGAGATTATTATGCTAAGTGAAATAAGCCAGTGAGAGAAAGACAAACACTATATGATCTCACTTATATGAGGAACCAATGAACAAAATAAAGTAATGAACAAAACAGAAACAGAGGCATGGACACATGGAACAGATTGACAGCTGTCAGAGGGGAGGGGGCTGGGAACTGAATGAAAGAAGATGAAGGGATAAGCCAAAGAACCTATAAACATAACCCACAAACAACAGTGTGGAGATGGCCAGAGGGGAGGGGTAGGGGCTGAGTGGAAGTGGACAAAGGTGGGAAGAGAATGAGGACATCTGTAATAATATCAACAATAAAAATAAAGGAAAAAAACATGTCACTTCCGACATTAGGTAAGAAAAAGACTGTGGTTTCCCTGTTGGGTATTCTCTCTCACTCTCTCCTGGATCACTTCACTCAGGGAAAGCCAGCTGCCATTCGTGAGGTAGCCTTGTGGAGAAGGTGACGAGGTAGGGAGATGAGGTTTGCCAAGGGCCTCCCGGATGAGCTTGGATGCAGATCTCCTAGAACCTGCCAAAGCCACGTGAATGCTCACAGAAGCAGATCTTGCCCCAGCAGAGCCATGGCAAGATTTACAGCTATGGCCAAAATCTCGACTGCAGCCTGTGGGAGACCCAGGTAGCCTGCTCCTGGACTCCTGACCCACAGAAACTGGGAAATAAGACGCGTGTTGTTTTCAGGCACTAGGTTTAGGGGGGAATCTCTTATGCAGTAATAAACAACTAATATAAATGTTAACCAAGTGGATGGCTAGAGAACTGGAACCTTCCAAAGCCTGCCTCCTTCAACTCATTCAACAAATACTTACTGAGTTCTCACATGCCAGGCATTAGATGTGCTCCCTGCCCTCAGTGTGTGTGGGGGGGGGGGGGAGGGGGGGGGGAGGGGGGATGTTTTAAAAATACTTAAATATCAAAATTCTTTCTAAAATGCTGGATGGAGAAGAGGTACAAAAGGCACAGCATGGAGGCCAGCTGGAAGGACTGCAATCCCAGTCTCCAGATACGGGATTTGGGGTAATAACTTCTCTGAGCTTCAGTTTCTTCATTTGAACAGATCATAATACTACTTCCGAAAGTTGGTAGGATTAAATAAAGATTGCATGAAAAATGTCTGGCAGGATGCCTGGCATATATTAAGGGCTCAATAAATGACAACTCTATGAGTCTATCCCTCTTTTTAAAATAAGCGATAATCATCCACACTGTGCAGGACTGTTCAGTGTGTAAAGATATATGCACATAAAATTGTTAGTACAGGACACAGTCTGCTTTATATGCACTCAGAATAATAATTCCCATTAGTTTCTGTAGACCCTGGAAATCCTGTTACGGCTATAGGAGATGAAAATAACTTTATACAATAAATTTTTGGAGGTTCTAATTTTTGTTTAAAAATCATTTATTTATTTTGTTTCTCTAACTGAAGATTTGTTTATCTTTTGCAAAGGGCCTTGCTATGAGCCAATGGTGAGGGTGAAAAACATCCTCACCACTGAATAGGATGGAACATCTGAATATACAACAAAGTAAGAAGAAAGCTGGTAATTAGAGACCAGAGACCAAATAGGCGCATCAAACAGTTTCATTATCTTAGGCATTGTATACCTTAAAATAAATTGTTATCTAATATTATTACTATTTATAAAACATGTCTATCACAACATAAAGAATTAACGTTCCTCACGAATTTCCTAGCATTGAACCAATTCAAAAGGTATCACCATTTAATATGTCTAAAGTAATATGTAAGACCAGAAAGACACACACACACCCCTTCCAAAACAAGAAGGGAAAAAAAAATCAGTACTATTAGAGTATCTTGGATTTTATTTCTTGAGAAACTAAACATGACCACTAGATGGCACTGTAGTCTGATTTCGTCTTTCTATTTCCAGAACAGTCTCTGTGAAAAACATCTATAAAGCTATCATAAATTTTCCGAGTCAGTTATTTGCTTATCTGACGTGGTACAAGGTATAGGGAGACATTGTGGTATTCTTTTTCAAGTTCCTGGCAATCTCTTGTCAATAAATGAACATACTGCCAAGTCAACTGAAGCAAACTGATCTTGTCCAGACAAGTGAGTTTCATGATCCTTTGAAGAGCTTCCTGGAAGTAAACTGAAGTTTCTAAAGATGAAATAGATCATAATTTACAAGTGAAAAAAGCATGATACGCCTATGCCAAAGTGCTCAGTGTTGATTCCAGCTGTTCATTTCCTCTAACAATTCAAATCTCGGTTCTGGCAGAGCTCAGGTGATGCCTGGAAATTCACTCGACAAACGTGTTGCGACCAGTTTTCCAGGGTCCACTCTGAGACGCAGAGGGCACCCCTTCATGGAGCTTACATTCTAGGAAAAGTCAGACAGTAAGCAAATGAATAGACACGGCCATTTCAAATGTCACGGAAAAGATCAATGATGAAGACAAGTGAGGCAGGTCCATTTGATAAGGTGGTCAGAAGCTGTCTCTGAAAAGGGACAATTTGAGCTGGAACTACAATGACAAGATAAGTTCAATCACAGGAGGATGTCAGTGAGGTAGAGGCTCCACGAGGGAAGAGGAGAGTAGGAAGGAGTTGGGAGAGCAAGGCAGACCAAGCCATGGAGGGACTCAGAACTTGTATTCACCTGGTTATGTGAGTCACTGAAAAGTTTTCAGCAAGCAGAGTACAATTGATTTACCTGTTTAAAAGATCATTCTGGCTGCTAGTGGGCAATGGATTGTATGACACAGGGTAACAACAACAAGTGCTCAACAAATGAACAGCAAATGAATGAATAAGTGAATGACTGTGCTTACTATGTGCCTAACACCTGCTAGGTGCTCATTATTCATTGAAATTCACTTGACACTTATCACACTAATAGAGCTAGGAACACTCTTAAGACGGTGGCTCTCGAGCTTCAGCATCCATCAGCCCCACCTGGAATATCTATTACACACAGACTGCTACATCACATCCCTAAGCATAGCCCTGCCCCCATTATTGCCTCCCTCCACAGCTTCTGACTCAAGAGTTTGAGTTAGAGCCTAAGAATCTGTGTTTCTAACAAGTCTCCAGATGATGCTGAGACCACTGATCTGAGGACCACACTTGGAGAACCACTCCTATAAAAGGATGAGTATGAAATGCCAACAGCTGTTAAAACAAAAACAAACAAAACAGGGAGAACTTACTTCAGTCCTATTACTTCTGGATCTTGAAGGCCACATACATCCTTGTCTTGTATTACAAATGTGGAAAATATTATTCATTTCCAGGTCAAGGATAAGGACCCTGTCTTGCCCGGCTGGTGTGGCTCAGTGGTTGAGCATTGACCCATGCACCAAGAGGTCACTGGTTTGATTCCAGGTCAGGGCACATGCCCAGGTTGTGGGCCAAATCCCCAGTGGGGGCTTGCAGGAGGCGGCCAATGTTCTCTCTCATCAATGTTTTTATCTCTCTCTCCCTCTCCCTTCTTCTCTCTCTCTAAAATCAATAAAACAAACAAACAATGACCCTGTCTTCCTGTCTAATAGAGCCTCAATTTTGTTCAGTATTATTGTGTTCAGCTCCACTGGCTTAGACCAAATATGGAAGCCCCATTCCTTTGCCAGATACTGACTATCCCAGTCTCCCTTGAATGACCATGGGACACAGGTCTAACCAAAGAGAAGTAACAGAATTGTATTGAGGATTCTGGGGAAGGCTTTCCTCCATAATATAAAAGAGAGCAGGGAGAAAAAAAAACAAAAAACTTTCATTGGTAGGAGAGTCTGGTCAGTGAATACCCTCATGTAGAAATAGCCACAATTTCAAAAATGTAAATTCCCGTCAGGCAGTGGTGTGCTGGTAAGTGTTTAATAACAGACTCTCAGTAATAAAAAAAGCTGATTGCTGATTTCCATGGTATAAAAGCCCCCACAAATTAGTTCCCACAGTGACTGATTTGTAAAGTCACTATACACAAAATGGGAAAAGATGTCAACAATAAACTCTCACAAGCCAGTATGGGCTAGCTCCAGCAGACCACTGCCAGGGATTCTAAAACCAAAAGGTAGGATAAGGAACATCCTGAAATATAAGAAACAAGGCTAATCTTTCATGTTCTTGGGCACATGATCTCTCCTAAAAGCCATTTGCATGGCCACATAAACAGTTGAGAAGGTTCAAGTACGGTGTGTAACACAAAGAAGACACCCTGGTTTGTGGTTGATGGAGGGCCCCCTTGCCAGGACTGTTTACATTTTGTTGAAATATAAGCCTAATAGTAATTCTCTGCAGACTTTTATGCATCATTTTAGGAAGTTAGAAACAAGGGACACTCTAAGGCTATTCCACAAACTATCCCTCTTATTCAGCTACCTACATTTCTCCTTGGTGGTAAAGGGAATAATATCTAAAACAATTGAAAGCAAACTTTATTTGCAGGGTGACTCTAAGGAATTAGCAGGTCCTGTTCCTTCTGCTGAGTAGTCATTCATTTCCTATTCTTCCCCATATCCTGGTATCCACCTAAACTTCTGATCAGCCACTGTGCAAGGTTTCAACATCTTAAATATTTTTCTAGCAAATCCTTCTTGATCCTCACCTGACATCACAGTCTACCCTCTAATCAAAATAGCTTCTCTCAGGTCTTCCCTACCCTCAATGCAGCACACTTCCCGAAATGCTCATCACCTCATTGAGGATTTCCCAAACTTCCTGGATTGCAAGAACAACCAGGGGAAGTTACATACAAATACAAATTCTTACATCTCACCCCTTGACTTACGAATCAAAATCTCCAAGAGGAGGAGTCTGGAAATTTGCAATAAACATATGCCCAGGTGATTTTTATAAAGTAGTTTTAGAAAAACTCTGGCTTTTCTATTTCCTTTTTATTACTCAATTCTCAACTTCACCATTGGTTCATCAGAGATGCCCTCTTGATCACTCAGATAAGACTGGATACCCTTCTTAACTATTTTAGGTTTACGGTACTTGGAATTACATTGTAGCCTTTCCTCAAAGGCTATTGAGTCTTTCCTGTACGAATGTGAAATTTGTGAAAGTAGAAAGTGGCCTGGTGTTAGATGGTATCTTGAGTACCTAGCACGTTCCCTGGCACATTGTAGGTTCTTAATAAATAGAGGTTGACTGGTTGACTCATGGACCCATCTCACATCTGGAAATCCAAAGATGATGACCTCTTCATTGAGGAACATTCATAAGGGCAAGCACATTTGTTTGGTCCTACGGCCTGTTACAAATCCAGTATCTACCATAGGTCTCAATTTCCTTGATTCTAAAGGAAGTGGGAATAGATTAAAATGAGGATGCTCCTACTATGGTTAGTTATGACATATTAGGGGCTGTGAGCATTAGAAACGTGACATAATAGGGAAAAGGACAGTCTTGCCCTAAGGAAGTATACATTTGAAGTCCCAGTCCACCATGACGACAGAGACTAACCAGAAGCACTTGCCCTTCCGTACTGGGGTAATCTCAGTTCCTAATGGTGTGATCCTTGTGGCGTTGGTTGGGTTGAACTCTTTCATTCCACTATCTCCATGGGGCAAATGTTCAGCATGAGATATTTAACGCCATGTGTCAAGGGGGAGGCAGTGGAGGCGGAGATCAAAAGGGAGATGCAGATTTCCAAAGAGCACCGTATGTCTATTTTCATTTCCAAACCAAATGAGATGGGTTAAGGAATAAATGTGGAATTTGTGTCAATGTCTTGATTCTTAGGGATCAGAGAACTTACTTTTATTTTTATCTTCTTCTCAGTCTGCTTCGACACCAAATGCTTGCCCTTTCGAACACCCATTCGCTTTTTGGCCATTCCTAACCAGTTCCTTTGGCTAAAATCTAAAAGCACAAATCTTATGGGGACCAGATAGCCGTCTGATATCTACTGATAGCATTCACCTTACGTACCATATGCTCTATCAGTGAGCTAACCAAGTGGGAGCCGTCATTGTCCGACATGACCAACAAGGAAGAACCGCTGAGAGTTGGAGGTGACTTGGCTCCAATCCATTCCTCGGATTTAGCAAACAGGATTCTCAATCGAAAACCCAGTGTACAAAAAGGCACAGGTATTCTCAAATTGATCATAGACTGCAGAGCTGTTGGAAACCTTCAAGATGCCCTAGTGCTTTTTTCAGCTTCGATGTGAACAAAATCTCATTGGAAGCACATTATATAAATTAGTTACAAGTAGAGCTGCTAACAGTGTCCCAGGAGTGGGGATCCCCTCGTCCCACCTGCCCTCTCCCGGTGATGGCTTCTGAGAAGACTCCCTGCATCCAGCTGGAAAATTGTGCGTCTACGGCAACATCTCCATTTTACAGATGAGAAAACTGAAGTGCAAAAACGTCAGTCATGTTCTCAGGGTCACAGGACACTTCCATGAAGGATCTCCTGGCAGGGAACTTCAGCCACTGTCCCTTCCTAACGCGTGCTATCGCTAAAATCTGTTCCCCGGTACGTCTAGGCCTTTCTGCAGGTACTTGATGCTAGCCTTCAGGGCGGTCCTAGCGGACTGACAGAAGCCAAACCCAACCAGCCCAGTACTTAATGAAAGCCAGAAAAGGTATCAATAATGACATCCCACTCCGTGCACACAGTCAGAACCCTGATTGCCAGAACCCTGCAAGCGGGCAGAGGAGTAGAAACTGCAGGAGTACACCACTGCACCCCCTGCAGAAACATTTGGTTATTTACCTGCCATAAAACTAACTCTCCAAAAAGTATTCAGATTTTGTCTGGGGGCCTGATGGGGTCACTGAGATCACCGGTGCATTTGAGGTGAAAGGTCACCTACAGAACCGGATGTGTCAAGCTTTTCTTTATGTCCCTTATGGGAATAGTTCTTACCCACTTTGTATATATTATTTGGTCCTACTTACAACTCCATCACAATTTAGAGATTATCTGAGCCAAAAGCAAATGAATTAACATGACATGGTACATTAATATGAGTGACCGAAAAGAAAAGCATTTTCCCTTCCTTTGATCTAGCAGGATACATATTGTTACCTGGAAGAGTAATTTGTGACTCCTGAAAAGGATGCTTTTACTGGCTACTCCTGACAAATTGTATTTGTCCCTTTGTATTTATTTTACTATTAATAACATTGACATACAATATACTATCCTCAGAAACATAAGTCTTCCTTTGCATTTATTTAGCCATCTTCCATGATTTTCTTCCAGGAATGTCTATACATAGCAAATTTTGTTACCCTGACTTGCCTGCTGCTCTCTGCCAACCACTGTATGTATCTTTTAATTAAGTAGAAAAGAGATCTTAAAAGCTCACATAAGCCCAGGAAACTCTATTTCTGGCTGACAGCAATGTCTCCTCATTTGCTAGCAAAA